GAGACGGGATCGCAATGGGATCAGTAATTGGCCCAAAGCTTGCCGATATTTGTATGGCATCAATAGATGAAAAAATCTTCCAGTACCAAGGTATTATTTTTTATACTAGATATGTGGATGACATATTAGTTTTGTACGATTCAAATAACGTTACAGCTGAAAATATCAAGGATTATGCAAATAGTTTAAATAAGAACATTAAATTTACTTATGAAGAAGAAAAAAATTATGAGATTAATTATTTAGATGTAATAATCACAAGAAAAAATGAAACATTGCTGTTCCGAAAATACGAAAAAATATGTAATAATAATAAGGTGATTAATTACAAGTCATATTCTTCTATAGGAATAAAAAGAAATGTTTTTTTGATGGAATTAAAGAAAATATTTAATAGAACAACTTTAAAAAAATATATTGAAATTGAAACTAAGAATCTTTTTAAAAAATATTTATTGAATGACTATCCACAACAGCTTATACGTAAGTGGTACAATTCGTATTTAAATAATAGATATAATGTTAAAAATAATAAAATAGAAAACTTATATATTAAAATTCCATATATTTTCAAATTTTATGAAAAATATAAAACTTATATTAAAGAATTGTTCTCAGTCAATTTAGTAGGTGAACAAAAAAATAAATTAAATAACAGTATTTGTCTGATTAATAAAGCAAATGAAAAACAATCGAAGAATCCTTTAGAAGTTGCAGAAGTCGTATATGAATTGATGTGTACGTGCACAGAACGGAAAAGCTACGTTGGAGAAACAGGAAGAAAACTGGAAGTGAGGCTAAAGGAGCATGAGGCGGCAATTCGATTGAACAGAACTGAATCCCCGTGGCAACAACACTGCAGTATTAAAAATTGTCTTATTGATCGTAGTAATATTAAAATTTTGTATAAAGAAAAAAATTTTGTAAAAAGACGCATCATAGAACATTACTGTATTAAAGAACATGCAAATTGTATAAATTTAAATACAGGAGCATATGTCGATGCATGCTGGGATAGCTTGATGAACTATAATAGTACTGGCAACTTAACAGTGTAATATCCACTGAAGAGGCTAAAATAGCGAAATATATATGGATAATATAATAAAGTAAGAAATAGTGAAAATAATTCTCTGGTTTTCTCTGTTTTTTTAAACTCTATCGAAGTCGGAATTAAAGAGTGAACGTCACTTGTGGTTCTTAAA